ATATTATTCACACACAAAACAACTGCATTAAAATAACATTAGGAATCTGGCTTGAACTGACAAAACCTAGGAAACTCAGAATTAAGGCTGAAAGTATGTCCTTAAGTCACCCACCGCGTGCCCCGTACATCCGCTCGGGCGGCGTGCTGGCCCCGCTGCCTCCAGCCGGGCCATGCTCCCCTTGCTGCTCCAGGGAGGAAACAGGCTGCACCTCCACTGAGATCCCACCGCCCCCGGGGAGCAACAGCCCATCTTTGTGCCTTGGAGTCCCCTTGCAGCCAGATGAGGTTTAGGATTTATGTGTAATGCAACCTTTTTCTGCGCCTTTCTACCCAGAGCCAGGTTTTGTCCCTGGTCAGCAGCATCACTGTGGTCAGGGCAAAAGCTGTGCTCAGCTGTGGAGGCTGGATGGAGGCAACAGCAGCCCGGAGAGAAGCAGATGGGCCTTTCTGCAACCTGCTGGGGGAAAATCCTTGGCTCAAAAAACACCTTCTAATGTTCACTTTGTGGATCACCTTACTGTGAGGGAGCTGAGGCCAAGAAGTAGTGTGAGGACACAGGTTGCTGTCACTGGAGCCGGGGATGGGATGGGGGGAGTGGGGGGGTGTGGTGGAACTTGAGCAGGATTGTCCCAAAGGGCTCCCCTTTCACAGGGCTCTCAGCCACGGGAAGCCCCACTACACATCCGGAAATTTGTGCCATAGCATCCAGTAGCTGAAAAACAATCATGGTCCCTGAGAGGGTCTCACAGTGGGTCAAAAARCAGCAATGCTGTGTGCATTCCTGCCCAAACATCTGCTGTGCTCCGGTTTTTCTCCCAAAGCCCTGCCCTTGATCACGGGACACAAATATCAAAATGCTCATCTGGGCCCTGGCTTTCCAGAAGGTGCATCTGAGCTGTGGAAAAGGTGATCTCAGCTGCAGCGTGTCCTCTGCAAATGCAAACAAACAAAAGCAGCGGCCTCAGCGGAATCACAGCTCACATCCTCCAAGAAGTGAATTACCACAGGCCTCTMGGAAGGACTGATCTGCTCACTTCTGGAGCACAGCTCTTTTTAAGACGTTTTTGCTCTATGGCCAAATATTTGCCTCTACATGGCAGCAAAATCAGCTCCCCTAAAGCCATGTTTGAAATAAGCTTCACTTCTGCCCTAMCCTTTCCTTTTACTTAGGAGCCCTGCTATTTTGTAGGAAGCAATCCAAAATGCTCATGCATGAGGCATCTCTCAAGAATAAACCACATTAAAGAGAAGAAAAGCCCAGAAGGCAGCAGCTAAGGAAAAAAAAAATTGTGTTCAAGTTGCAAGGTTGCCACATTGCTCTGCAAAAAGGGGTGCACCTTAACCATATTGGGTGTGATTTTTTTCCTTCTCAGTGAGGTGAGAAATAYATTTACTATTCCCATCTTGGAAGCAAAACAAATAGAATAATTATTTCCTTTCCCAGCAAAGGCAAATGCAGCTGAACTTCTAAAAGCTGTGCTTTTTACTTGTGTGCTTTAAACCAACACATTCCCTCGCTGGCTGGCATTTGCAACAGACCACAAACACATTACTACACGTGGCACCAAATTTGTGTTTCAGGTCAGAATTGAGATGTTCTGGTGATAAATGAGGGGTGCTTGCTCTATGGACATCCTGTCCCAGAAACACTGTAGCTAAATCTGCCATCAAGCACTACCAGTTTAATTCTTCCTTAGAAGGTCATTTAGTGAAAAAATAAATGTTTTGCTTTGGAACCATTCTCTGAACATAATTTGGGACCTCAGTATCAGGTCTTCTTGGTCTTTTAAAGCTGCTGAGTGTCTCCATGTCCCTCAGAGTACAGGCAGTGCCACGGACATTCACCACTTCTGAAGGATGAGTCTGAAATGGGCAGRTGTTGCATGACACAGAATTTGTGTCACTACATACAAGTGGTGGCCATGTATGAATAAACCCCAACCCACTGCTGAGCCTCCTGAAGAAAAAGCTGAGCCTTGAAATAGCAAAGAGCAAAATCTCCTGCATGTTGGGCCACAGAGCATAAATGACCTGAAACAGAACCAATGTGGGTGTCTTTCATGTCCCACGGTCTCAGGGTGCTGCACATGCAGTGCTGCCCTGGCACACAAACACACTCTCATCCTTTGGATCCCGTGAGACAGACACTCAGAGCTGGGCCAGTGTGCATATATGCAGAGCTTTTCCAGAAAATTATGGAAGTAGGCCAGGATGCATTTTCAGGTGCCACCTGGAAGGGTCTCTTATCTTGCCCATGCACTCTTGCAATCCCCACAAAATCTTTTTTACCAGAAAATAAAAAGAAGTTGAGACTGCAGGTGTGTGCATTTTATTAAGCCCACTGTGTCCCTTGCAAAAAATCTTGGAATGGCAGGTGATTGCTTCCATATTAAGGAAGGCTTAAGAATGACTGACAAGATCTGTTTTTGCAGTTCTTATTTCTGCCAATCAAATTACTGAGGACAACAGTGAATAGTGCATATTTAGAAAATGTATTTTTAAAGTTGGGCTTTGACTGAACAGTTACTTCGTGAGAAACTGAAGCCTTCCCTTCCCAACAAGCTGTGACTTAAATGCAGCAAGTGAAAAAGGGGGGGGAAAAAAAGGTATAATGAAAAACAAAACTRTAAAACAAAGATGTTGCCTTGCTAAATGGGCACCAGCACCCCACACTCTCTTCTCAGACTTGGAACCAAAGCTGAATTCTCATATATGAGGACACCAATCAGAAGGAATAGGCAAGGAAGAAKAGAGTGGTGCCCCCCTGTGTGTTTGGGAGTGTTTTGATTTTCTGGAGCTTGCTGATGGTGACAGTAGGGTTGAGTGYTTATGGATAAGAATCAGGGTAAAGRCCAGCAAGGCACTGGTTTTCTGAAAGGCAGACTTTGACCTGTCTAGGGGGCTGGTTGACAGAGCCCCATGGTAGTCAGTSCTGAAGGGCAAATGGGTCCAGGAACTTTCTTCAAGAAGAAAATCCTGAAGGCACAGGGGTAGGCTGTCCCAGTGTGCTGAGAGATGAGCCAGTGGGGAAGAATACCAGCTTCGCTAAACAGAGAGCTTTGRCTGGAATTTGGGGATGGAAAGAGAGTTCATGACCTTTGGAAGAAGGGGCAGCCAACTCAGGAGGACTGCAAGGATGTTGTGAGGTTRTGCAGAGAGTAAATTAGAAGTACCAAAGCCCAAATAGAACTTTATCCAGATTTACTGCAGTAAGAGACAATAAAAGTGTTTCTATAAATACATCGTCAACAGCAGGAGGGCTAATGAAGATCTCCATCCTTTATTGGGTGTGGAGGGGACATAATGACAAAGGATGAGGATAAGACTGAAGTACTCAATGCCTTCTTTGCCTCAGTCTTTAACATGACCAGTGGYTGTTGGGGCACCCAGTGCCCAGAGCTGGAAGACACAGATGGGGAACAGAACAGAGCCCTCATGATCCTAGGGGAAATGGTCAGTGACCTGTGACACCATGTAGATACACACAAATTTATAGGGCTGGATGAGATCCACCCACGGGTCCTGTGGGAGCTGGCAGAAGTRTTCACCAAGCCACTTTYCATMATTTACCAGCAGTCCTKGCTRACTYGGGAGGTCCCTGTAGRCTGGAGATTACCAAATKTGGCACCCATCCATAAGAAGRGAAGGAAGGAGGATCCCGGGAACTGCAGGCCTGTAAGTCTGACCTTGGTCCTAGAGAAGGTTATTATGGAGCAGATATCATGGGTTCCATCACAGGGTATTTACAGGACAACTGGGAAACGAGTCCCAGCCAGGGCGAGTTCATGAAAAGCAGGTCCTGCTTGACCAACCTGACTGCAGTTTGCCATAAGGTGACCCCATTTAGGGGATAAGGGGAAAGCTGTCAATAGAGTTTACCCAGACTTTAGTAAATCCTTAAACACCATTTCCTACAGCATTCTCCTGGATAAATTGTCTGCTCATGCCTTGGCCTGGTGCATTTTTCACTGGGTTAAAAACTGGCTGGATGGCTGGGCCTGGGGAGTGGCGGTGACTGGTGCCACATCCCGCTGGCAGCCGGTCACGGATGGTGTCCCCTGGATCAGGGCTGGGCCAGTTTAGTGTGTAATCGATGACTTGGGTGAGGGGGTTGAGACACCAAGGTAGGCAGGAGTGTTGRTCTGCTGGAGGGCAGGARGGCTCTGCAGAGGATCTGGACAGGCTGCATTGATGGGCTGAGGTCAGTGGGGTGGGGTTCAATAAGGCCACGTGCCGGGTCCTGTCCTTGGGTCACAACAACCCCAGGCAGCGCCACAGGCTGGGGAACAGTGGCTGGAAAGTGCCGGGCAGAAAAGACCTGGGGGGTCTGGTCAACATTGGCTGAACATGAGCCAGCTGTGCCCAGGTGGCCAAGAAGGCCAATGGCARCCTGGCCTGGAACGGGAATAGTGTGGCCAGCAGTGTCCCCTGCACTTGGCACYGGTGAGGCTGCACCTCGAATCCTGTSYCCAGTTCTGGGCCCCTCACTACAACAAAGATCCCAAAGCACTGGAGAGCATCCAAAGAAGGGCAACGGAGCTGGTGAAGGGTCTGGAGCACAAATCTTACAAGGAGTGGCTGAGGGAGATGGGGCTGYTCAGCCTGGAGAAAAGGAGGCTCAGGAGAGACCTTATCCCTCCCTACAACGGCTTGAAAGGAGGTTGTAGTCAGGTGRMGRTCRGYCTYYTCTCCCAGATAACATGAGACGGGATAAATGGAAATGGCCTCAAATTGCACCATGAAAGGTTAAAATCAGATATTAGGGAAAAAATCTTCACTAAAAGGGTTGTTAAGCGTTGGAACAGACTKTCCAGAGAGGTGGTTGAGTCCTTATCTCTGGAGGTATTTAAAAGACTTGTGGATGTGATAATTGGGGACATGGTTTTGTGGTGGACTTGGCAGTCAACAGCTGAAATTGGTAATTTCAGATATCCTTTCTGACAAACAATTCTATAATTCTAACCCTTTTCTCCAACCTGCTACCACCCACATCTCAGCTTCATCAGTCCCCTCCCTTTTCATCTGCTCTTGCTGCCAGGTGCTCTGSCATGCCCTTATCGCATCCTCAAAGGACTCTGGAGCGTGGGGGATTGGAAAGACAAACCAAATTCTTCTCCTGAGACAGGCAGGTAGGTCCCCAGGTGCCTGTCCTCATTTACAGCTTGTGCTTTGGGAGCTGGATCCAGCTGGCAAAAGTTTCTCATTAAAGATGGCAAGGCTGAAAATGTGAACCTGGAGGGAAGCTATGTAGTTCTGGAGCAGAGGTGGCCTTCAGGTTAGGGTTAAAGAGGTGGTGATAAGACTTCTATTCTATTTTTTATTTTGGCTTAGTATTCTGGGATTCTGTTATTTATGGAAGTGGCAGCATGGTTTGGGTGTGTTCAGGTTTATTYGGAATTCCCACCCTTACTTCCTCTCCTCCAAAAATGTTACGATCTTGCAGGTGTTAAATTTTGACTAGTTCTAGCATAGGCTTGGGACAGGAAAAAGCTTGTTTTAGGACTGCTAAAGTCTGGATCTTGTACAGTGTGTGGGAGTTGTGCTCCAGCTATTTTTCTGGTACGTATTTGAGGAAAAGCRGGGAGAGTAGGCAGAGCTCAGACTCTGCTTATTTTTGTGCTAGCAAACAGCAGAGCTCTGGCAGAGGAAAAGGGATTTAAAATGTTGATCCGGCATGCTAAAGCCATGGGCAGCTCCTGACAGCATCTTCAGGCTCATGAGGTGATCAAGAGCATGGGCTGCTACTGCCTTTTTGACTGGAAAGAGTAAACACCAACAGAGTACAAACAAGAGGAAGGAATCAGATGCAGGGTGGTTGTGGGAGCTTTGAGAGTGTCAGGTCCTGGTGTTTGTGGTCTGCCAGCCCTGCCAATGCTGTTTCTTTTAGCCAGTCCCCTCTGTGACAGCCCACCTGTGTGGCAGCTGAGGATTTGCTACAAAAAACATTCTGTGTGTCCAGCTCTGAGCTCTGCAGCACTTTTTCCACACTTGTTGGGTGGAAGYGCCGGGCAGCTGAGCCATGGTGTGCACAGCCACACTTCCCAGGAGCGGGTGAGGCATGTGTTTGCACGTCCAAGGAAGCTTTGCTTGGAGCACAACTCTGCTCTGATTATTTCAGAGGCTTTTCTYCCCCCTGATTTTGTGTACAGAAGGAGAGGTGTTCCGAGTAACTCTGCCAAAATTCKCCAAACTCTGCTCCACATATGTTTSAAAGGATCAGTGGGCCTAACAGCTGCACTTATTTAGTGATAAATGGGGATAAACACTMGCTGAGGTAGCTGTCCTCTGCTAAGAAAACACCCCTGTGTCTGTTGACTCCTGTTGTCTCTTATTCTGCTCTCTGCACTGATGGCATCTGCCACTTCCAGGGCTGTCTGGGTGCCAGGTGACCGCATGATCCAGCCATCCCATTGCTTTTCAGTGATGGATTGCTACAGCTGCTGCTGGCTGCATATGGCCATTCAGCAGCCTCACCGGCTTCCATGGGGTGAATCTGCATTGCAGCTCCTGCTTGCTAAAGAATGTAGCTGAGGAGATWTGAGAAAAAAAGAGAGGGCAGGACTGAAAAGCAAGTGAAAATTTGGGAAGAACTAGAGAAGCCTTTCAGCCCTTAGCTCTGTAGCCTAGTTCAKCCAAGGCCATAGGAAAGCTGGGCAAACACAAATGAACTGCCAAACTTCAAAATTAGCCCACCTCATCCATCCCTATTTCCTTCCATTGCAAGGAGGTTCAAAATCTCCAYGAGGAAAAATTATAACCATTGAGTCACTCCAACAGCAGTGCTCTGGCTGCCTGCCCCTGCCAGCCTGCTACACAACTTGTGTGCTAATGTTTGGATTTTAGTGGTGGCAAACTAATGTCAGGCTGCACTCCCTTCATGCACCATTGGGCTGTGCTTATGGTCGCTCTTGGCAGCACCAAGTGATTAAACAGATAAAACCATCAGTCTTGTTATTTCCAAACATTAACCTAAGTGCTAATAAAGCACAACCCGTGYCTTCCTTATGGACTCTGCAGAGCTGAGTCACATTAAAAACAGGATCTGGATGCTGGAAAAAGCCTCATCCTTCTTTCCTGYGCCGAGAGGCAATACCTCTCTGTGAGCAGAGCTTGCCTTGGAGRGCTTTGCTGTGAGAAAGCTGATGGAACTGGGCTGGGATGCATCTGCCAAGGAAAGCAAGGAGGCTGTGACCCCCTCCCTTCAATGTGAGGACAGGGTGTGCTGTGCTGGCTGGATGGCTGTCTGTCTGGATGGGTGGATGGATGGATGGATGGATGGCTGTCTGGATGGGTGGATGGATGGATGGATGGATGGCTGGATGGATGGATGGATGGATGGATGGGTGGGTGGCCATGTCCCTGCCCCTTCTCCCTTCCAGTGCTCAACAAGGATCTCCTCTGAGCCCCCACAGGGTGGGGAATATTTGTCAGACCCCAAGGCAGAGGAAATGAAGTRATTCTCCTTCTCAGTGGGCTTTGCCTTTGGTGGCTGAAGATATTTTTCCCAAAACATCCCCAGCAAAACCGGAGGGCTTTGTAAATTCATTATGTCACTGAGGAATCTGTTTAATCAGCTGCCTTTCCCTGGAGGCTCTTTACACTTAATGAGAGACATGATGGAAGGAATCAAAACTGGTTTACAAGAGTTTAGCCTCAAACCCCTCAGATGATGTGTTACTGACTGTGCTGTAATTGAGAGGAGCAAAGGGAGACACGGAGCAGCTCTCACCCTGTCTGAGAGGGATGGTGGCAGAGGCAACACACGAGAGCCCTGAGCYCTGTATTGCATCATTCCTTTCCTGGGTGTCATCACAACGAACAGCCAAAGTCTCCATTTGCCAGGAGCCTGATCCATGCACACTTGGCAAGCGTGCTTATTCCCCAGCTCACTGTGCCAGTTACATAGAAAGGCATACCCTAATTTAGCTTATTTGTATATGAAGATACTAACCCAAAATGCAGCTAAATGAGGAATGTTCCATATATGTGAGAAGGAGCTTTGTAAACTAGACAAATAGTGGRACCACAGAGAGGGAATATGGAATAGTTTCAACTTCAGATTCAAAAACCATGTTTGGTTTTTATATAAATATGATCTTACCATGAAAACAAAAGGCACTTATTTGTCTTCTCTGCCTGCTTGCTTTCCCCAGCTGCCCATGCTGTGTCTAATCCTTTCAATTAACTGGTATCCTGCCTTCTTATTGTGATGATGGACCAGCATCTTTCCCACTATGAAGGTATGTGAACACAATCAAGGTCCTCAGGAAATTTTGCTCTGAAGGACTCTCTAAGGGCTTGTTGCACCCTTAGAAACACACWAAGTATTTTGTTCCTTTAAAATAATTCCCATGCTAGTGTCTCATTAGCCTTTACCTTCTAGCATTTTTATTTTTGCTTCTGAATAAATAAAGACTAAATTGTTTGGAAAGGAATTTTTCTGCAGTGTAATTATGCTAGCAACAGCAGAGCATTTTCYATAGAGAGGGGAGCAACCTCCTCTGCCAGGAGGGAAGGGTGATTTAGTAGAATCATAGAATGGTTTGAGATGCAAGGGACCTTTAAAGATCATCTAGTTCCAACCTTCTGCCATGGGCAGGGACACCTTTCTCTAGACYTGGYTGCTCRGATYCCCAYCCAGCCTGGGAAGCRACATCCACAATTTCTCTGGACAACATATTMCAGTACTTCACYATCCTCAGTAAAGAATTTCTTCCTAATATCTGATCTAAACCTGCCCTAAGCCATTCTCCATTGTCCTATCACTTCCTTGTAAAAAGTCCCTCTCCAGCTGTCTTGCAGCTCCCTTTAGATACTGGAAAATTCCTGTAAGTCTTCCCAGAGCCTTCTCTGTCTTCTCTGGGCTGAGCAACCTCATCTCTCTCATCCTGTTTTCACAGAAGAGATGCCCAGCTCTCTGATGACCCTCCGCTTTGAGATCCTTCTCTGGACTTGCTCCAACAGGTACAAAGTCCTTCTTGTGTTGGGGTTACACCACAGCAGAGCAGAGCAGAGCAGAGCAGAGCAGAGCAGAGCAGAGGGGCAGAATCCCCTCCCTCACCCTTCTGGCCACACTGCTTTTGGTGCAGCCCAGGTCACAAATGGCTCTCTGGACTGTGAGTGCACTTTGCTGTGTCTYGCTGAGCTTCTCCTCCACCARCAGCCCCAGCCCTTCTCCTCAGGGCTGCTCTCAGTCCATTCTCTGCYCAGGCTGTATYTSTTGGGGTTGCCCTGATGCACATGTTGGACCTTGCASTTGGCCTTGCTGAACTTSATGAGGTTCACAGCCCCACCTCTCCAGCCYGTCCAGGTCCCTCTGGATGCCATCCCTTCCCTCCMTATGTGAACGGCACCGCACAGCTTTGTGTCATCAGCAAACTCACTGGGGGTGCCCTCGGTCCCACTGTCCATGTCACCAACAAGGATGTCACACWGATGTTTGTTTGGTTCTGTCAGGCAGGGGCTGCCAGAGCCAGTGCTCCTGCAGATGTGCTCCTCCTGGTAGCACCCTGGGAGCTGGGACGGACCAGCACCCTTTGGCCCTCAAGCACTTACTGGAGAGAGCCAAAGAGAAAACTTCTGAATTGTCTGACTGGATTTTACCAACTCTGGGTTCCAGGCATCTTAATKTTGAGGTGTTCTATATTATAAATACACTGTCCAAAATCACAGCCCAGAGACTCACCTTTACTGAAAGAAGTGCAATTTTGTGAAGATAAATCTGTTAACTTACCTTCCAAAGCACAATAAATAGAATTCCACCACAAAAAGGTCTGAAACTAGTGGGTTTTATTAATTAATGTATCGTTTATAATATGCCTTTTTATAATTGTTCATATTTTGGATGTAGGTATTTAGATTTTGATATTGCTGAAGTGCACAGTTTGTGATAACTTTATAAGGAATACAGCTTGGAGTAACAATACCAATTTCTCACAAAGATGAGATGTAATGGATAGTAAAGTAGGTTTATATTCATGACATTTATTTTACTTTCAGCTGTTGTAATTGATAGTCTATATAATGTAAACATATGAGGTTTTTAAAATAAATATGGGTTTGTGAGATTGCCACTTACCATCAGTCTGTAACACATTATTTAGAGATTATCTATGGGCTGTTGGTATGTTYCCCATTTTTTTATTTTTGTTCTAAGTTTAAAAGSAATGAAGATATTGGTATCTTTACCACTTCTTTAAAAAAAATAGTTTAAAAGGACCAAAGAGGAAAACACAATTTAGCATGGAATTGATTTTTGCATCAGCTGGTTTTGCATTAAATAATAATACACTGTTAAAAAATTGTGTTGTCATCTCCTCCTGTGAAGTCGCATTATGTTCTGTAGCCTTGGCTCACTTATTAATCCTTCAGTAGCACGCACTTAATTGTTCAGCAAGTGACACAACATGTGAAGAAATAATAGCAACAATGTGATTTATATCTCTCCAGGCAAAACCATGAGGACTGGATCATCTGCCTTCGCTTGTTGTACTGCAATGCAGGAACAGCCTGATCTCAAAACTGTGACCAGGTAGGACACACTGAAAATATGTACCCTGGAAACAAAAGGCATGTCTGCTCTGTGAGCCAAGCACAAGTCTGAATTGCTCTCAGAATCAAACACATGTGGTGGTCAGGACTTTCGAGGCTCTGAGCTGGTGTGTGCAGAGCAGAACAAGCGCAGTGTGACCACCAAAGCCCAGCCTGGCTGCTGGATACTCACTGGAGGGAGCTGGGGCACACAGCTGAAGAAATGCATCTGTCTCCAGTGGGATRCAGATACATTGAGTGAGCAGGACTTCTAGGGGGAGAGAGAAGGGGAGGGTGGGTAGAGAGGAGGGATTTTTATAGCTGGTGGGGTTTCCCGCTATGAGTCCACCCGGAACAGCAAAGCCACTTTGCCAACACCAGCATCAGTTCCCCGGTTTGTAGACAGTGGATTGAAGTGGTGGAGAACAGAGCCTACTGGAAATAGTTTTCAACAACTAGCTCCCCCACAGCAGAAACATTGCCTCCAGTCCAACTCCAGGCTTTGGCATGCCAGACTTCAAATTTTCCAAATACAGCATATTTTCAAGTGAAAAACCTGGCTTACATAGATTGTGGCTCATTATGTTTACATCTCCTTGTGTATTGCTCTGTACTTTGAATGACAAAAGGTGCAGATCTTCTGGTGCAACCAGCTGTGAAGGGAAGAACCAGTTSAGCCCATTTGTTCCCCTTCAGCCTCCAGAAACAGCTGAAGGGCAGAAACCTGGTCTCCACCATGTTCTGTTGGGTGCATGGTTCATTTCTTTTTTCAATTAGTATTTCTTTTTCCTCCAACTCCACTGTTCCTATTTATCTTACCTTTTCCCAATGCAATTAATTTAAAAACAAACATGTTTTTAGCAAAAGGAAGTTAGAAAATAAAGGTATTAAAAATAATACTGTTTTCTCTCCTCGAAAGTAAAACAGATTCCCAGGTGTGCCCCACACATTTCACAGGATCAAGGGTTCAGTGGTGTCGCACATTAAAATTTTGCATTGTGGCACTCTGACTTGCCTTATCTTCTGCATTTTTTTCATTTTTACTATTCTGTCATTTTTTCCTATTCCATTCTATTTCTGAACTTTTTGTTTTGTCAGACAGAAGATAAACACTCCACAGGCCAAAAAGAAGAATCACTTGGATATTTCATGGATCGCATGAAATGCTGTCCCTGGAGAGCAGTAATTGAAGGGAGTGAAGGCGATGGTAGCCCAGTTCAGCCACGTTGCTGAGTGGCAGAGACCTCACACACAAAGGTGCCTGGAAGGGGGGTCTCGAGCTCATTCCTGTTCCAGGTCCATGAGCCACCTGCACAGTGTAGGGCACCTGTGCAGCTGTGYCCTGGAGAGCTCTGAAGGGAGAAGGGAGAAGCCCAGGCACACTCGCCAGCTTAGCGTGTATCYGGGATTGTTGGGGTCAGTCAGGCAKGGTCAGAGCACATCTCAGCCCCCAGGAGGGACAGCAATGCCTGCTCTTCATCTGTGGATGGCCCAAAGCACCCAGAAGATACAGTGGAGGTGAAAGAGGGTGGTACAGGAGGGCTGGAAGGGTGGGTCACAGAACTTTCTGTGCTTTTCATCTCATGGAGTTTTAGGACATAACAGAGCTTTAAAACCTTTCCAGACTTCTTGCTTCAGTTTGAGAGCAGTTTCAGAACCCCACTGAGAATCCTTTACASTGCTGATTTTGTTGTTTAATCTGCTCAGGTCCCAAATGTTTCTGTTCTAAATTTTCAAGCTGCTTGGTTATGAGGAAGCAATGGAGTGAGAGTGTCTTGCTTGTTTGGGCTTGGATCATTATTCCAATTCTATGGGAATTAAAAGTGGAGGGTCCTTTTGCTTAGAAAATAGTGGGRAAAAATAGAAAATAAGAGCCATGAGAAAAGGTCTGTGAAGCATTGGCAGAACAGTTCAGGGAGGAAAGCAAGCACAGCATGTTATATGATTCCAGTGATGGTCATCTGCTCAACAAGCTACAAACACTGTAGGCCTTAAAGATATCCCTCTTGAGTTCTAAAATCCTTTAACTGGTCTGAGTCATTTGTACAGCTGAACAGGCTCGAGGTCTCTGAAGTAAATTGGAAATACCTGTAATTCTGCAGAAAATTAGAGAAGAGTTATGTAGTCCCAAAGCAGAGGAAGAAATAAAAAGGAGTCATAAAACCTCTAGTCTCTGGGAAAGCTCTGGTTGAAGATGACTTTCTAATAGAATTTTCTAAACTCTCTCAGTCTCACTTGGCTTCTGACATATGGAAAAATTTTCAAAAGGCCAAAGTGAAAAGGTTCCATTTCAGCATTAATTGCAGCGTTGGGTTTTCTTAACTCTCTCTCCTAGGAAATAACTCACCAATGCACCATTTGCAATAATTAAATTACAGGCCAATTCTTCTGACTAATGTGACTCAGAAGACACAGGTTAAAACAGCATCTAGAAAATGTCTGAGCAGCATACCTTATGGACAAGAACTTAGCATATAACTTGAGCCTGACATTAATCAGAAAGCTGCTAGAGAGTCTTACAGGCCTGTTATTATAATCTGCTATTTTTAAAATCCTCTGAAGTAATCAGAAAATCAACCAGCTCAACATCCCTAAAGAGAGCTGCTCCCACCCACCAGCAGTGGCTGACTTCACTGTTGACATAAAAACCATGAAGATCTCAGTCTAGTATTCTGCCATGTAATTGTATCCTTAATTTTGGCCTTGTTGAAAGTCTGCAGGAAAACTGATCTTGTGTGTCCTCATTAGAAGCAATTCATATGTAAATCATTTAAGTTTTGGGGTTGTTTTTTTTTTTTTTTGACATAAAGAAAGAAAACATTCCTGTGACTCAAACATTCTGCAGGCTCTTGCTCCTCTTGTGGCTCCTGTGTGGCTGTGCCTCCTGGCAAATCAGAGTGAGAAGTTTGCTGGCTACACTCTCACCTTCTCCTGCCTGAGCTGCTGGAGAAAGCACCTGCTAAGAGACTTTACCTTTCTCAGCCTTGGGTCAGTCACCGAAGGGATGTGAGATGAAGCTCTGATGTCTTCTACACTCTTGTGCCTGGCATATATACCCATGGTAGGTGCTTCACCCCCTCCAGTCAATAGCAGCCATTTAATTACCAGATTTTCTGCATATTGGAATGCTGAATTTTTGCTCTTTTATGTGCAAAAATAAGTTGAAGTGGTAGTAGTGGAATGACATCCTAGTGTTAAAATGGAATGACTTTGAAAAGACATGAAATAAACAACTCAGATGACATCTCTGTGCCTTTATCAATAAAACTGATGAAGCAGCATATGAGCTAACAGCCAAGTACTTGTCTGGAAATACAACTTTGATAAAGTTTGGGCACCTATTTCWTCTGAGTATTTCTGGAGTTGGAAATGGAAGTTATCATGAAAGTGTTGACAGCCATTTGAAGGTGTAAAGGAATACTGCATCTTTACCACGATTTCTATGCTTTTGAATTGGATGAGCTGAGTCCTTCACACTCTTAACTGTTCCTAAAATATAATGTCTGAGGTATTTGTCTCTAAGAAAGCCGAGTTTTTGTTGCTTGAAGATAAATTTTGAACTACTGCTGAAGGTGTTTGGAACTTCTCTCTGGCACCTTGTTTTTGTAGGCACATAAAAATGTAGATGAGTGGGACTAGGTAGCAGATGATGAAATTTAAATGGATTTAAATCTGTTTGTCAAAACCCTGTTTTCCCCTCATATAGGGAATTCTACATGAAGAGATAGGAAGGGAAAAATTATGGTAGACCTCGAGTTAATTTGGGGTATCTTGTTCATGAATTGTCCAGTTCAATGCAAAAAACAAAACAAAAAAAAAAAATAAAACCAAAAACAAAAAAAAAACCCCAACCTTACAGCTGCTAGGAATCTGACCTCGTGCCCAGAAATGTGCAAAAGCACAGCTGGCCTGTCTGGGCTGCAAATCAGCTTTAACACTAATGGCAACGACTTTATTTCAAGAGAGTATTTAGCTCCAAAAAATGAGAAGGGGCTGCATGTTCCAAATGTCATCTGTCAATTTAACAAATGGCAACTATAGACACGTCTTAACGCCAGATTGCTGTTTCATTAGGCTTCTTGTGGGTTATTCCTTCTTGGTGGCTGGCACTATTCCGGCGGGAGCAGCGGRAAGGCAGGAGGGCAGAAGCTTCTCGCCGCTGCGGTGCAGAGCAGCTCCTGGCTGCTTTCAGGGGGAGAGAGACCAGGGCACAAAACGAAAATATGCCGGACGAGATGAGCAGAGGGGCGTGTTCCTCGGCACAGCCGAGCTGAGCTGGTCACAGGAGCAGACACAGCGSTATGTCGAGGTGCGGCACAGGCAAGGCTGGCGGCTCCCGGGGCTCCCCGCACAGCAGGGAGGCAGAAAAAGGATTGCAGGAACGAGCAGATGAATTCTCAGTGTCATATGTTGAAGAGAGTGAGTGCTGAGGGAACAGCCGTGGCGCAGGGTGAGGTTAAAGATGGGCAAGAGCCCCCTTTGCCCGGCTCCAAGCCACTGCGATGCCATTCCCGAACCATATCCCGATGCCATTCTCTGCATCTATAGGTTAATCCAAGGGTTGACTCTCCCTGAGCTGCAGYCGCCCACACCAAAATTGTCAGATTTCCCATGCAGTGGAAATGCTTCTGAAGCGTCCTGCGTTGTAAGCAAACAAGGCTTTGTGGCTACCGCGGCTGGGAGCCTTCAGCCCTCCCTCTTATTCCTGRTAGCTCAAGCATCCTGGTGGAGCASCCTGACAGGACAAACACATTAAAATATTTAAAAGTGCATTAAACAGGTATAGATTTGAATGATCCATTCAGGCTGTTGCCAGTACAAACGCTGCACAACATGATTGGAAGGAGGTTGCAGAGGACAAGAAAATTAGTTTCTTTAAGAAGACTGTCTCCAGGGCCAGGTTTAGTAATAACAGATTGGTCAACACAGGATCAGYAGGTTCCCTTGCCGGGCAGCTCTGGATGCACAGATGAGGCCACAGCACCTGAGGGCAGCCAGGTAACTTTGCTCACAGGATGAACTGACTCCATTTGCTTGTACCACAGCATCCAGGGCACTTGGTGCTGGGATTCATAAACCCAGGGAATGTGAACCACTCTCCCCCTGTCCCACAGCACTCCCACCAGGATCCTGCTTCTCTTCAAAAGAGTCACTCTGCTCAAGAGTGAGGGRCTCAGCAAATGAGCTGCTGCATTCAGCACCTTTCTGGGAAGCTTTTTAGAAGGGAAAAGTAAAAAAAAAATAAATTAAACTGGATCCTCACAGAGTGCTGGYGTATGTGCTGACACGTTTGTGCAGAGGCAGTGCAAGGTTCTGCTGGGGAGTTAGAAGCAGAGWTTACCATGAGTCCAGTCTCCTTACAAACCTCTTCTCCTGTCAAACAGCTGACAATCAAATTGTCATTTTTTCTTCTTTCAAGAAAAATAGGTTTTGCAGGGAGATCRAACATAGTTACTTTTCTTCATTTTACTTAAAATGTGTGGAAAAAGCTGGCAAGCTTTTAAACTCGGTGTCCCTACAGTTGGTTGTTGGAAATCTTGCCTGGCTTTTTCCGACTCTCATTTGGCCTTAAAAGATGTTGCCTCTCCCTACAAACCTTGTTTCTCTTGCTCAATGTGGCTGCACAGATAATGGCTGCTGCTTATGTCCTCCCAAACTAATGTGGCTGTGATTGCTGCCTCTAAAGCTTGAAAGGAGAAGGTGGGAACCAAAGTCACAGGAAATGTTATTTTTTATTGCACTGCCTCCTTGCATGCAGAGAAACCTCTCGAGGTCAAAAAGTGCCATGGCAAACCTTTCCTTAGAGGCAAATGTGAAATCCTGGCACCAGAAAAATCAGTGCTCCTCCAAGAACACCACAACCTCAGTTATRTCTTAATTTCAGAAGCTGTCCCCGCTTTATCCAGCAAGACAGCCCACACAAGCCCCAAAGCAACTGAGGCTTGTGTGTGCCACTGTAGCTGAGGACACTTTATCACTGYTCAGAAATCAGAGATGAGCCCAAGTCTCTGCCCCTGGCAGAGCCCTTTGTTTTATTTCCAGCCCCCGCCCCCTGTTTCTTTTTTTAAATCACTTAGATTTTTAAAAGACAAAAGGAAGGCACCATGTGAAAACATCACTATGGAAACATCTCAGGCTCACTTGTACTTGCCTGCCAAGCAACCACCTAACTGAAGTTTTACATCCTATTGGATCACTGTTGGCCATCTGCTCTCCTTCAAACTTCTCTGAATTCCACATTTTCCTAAAAAGTTCAATTTTAGAAAGGAGGGAGGAGGAAGCAAAGGGAGAATCCAGGATTCTTGGCTAGTGTAGAGCTATTGTGAAAAAGGAAGATAAACTCACTTTCGGGCAGCCYCTTAAAAAGACAAAGATCCATGTTTTGTGAAGTAATTTCATAGAAAATACCTTGTTTCTAGATGCACTTTAATGATAAGAGTATATATTGGCAGCCACAGGGCAAAACACACAAACAGCTGCTTCTAGTACTCTGCAAYAATTGTCTTCCTCTCCCCTTCTCTCATTTAGCCTTAAATGTATTTTCTTCTAAAATGTAACAGTTACTGCCTACACTGGAGTTGTTGGCTGCAGGCTCCACAGCCTTGCTCCAAATAAAACACAGAAATAGATTTCCTGCCAAGCACCGAGGAAGTTTGAAGACTTTAGTTTTTTTTAAATATAATCTTTTTATCAGTGCCCTAAGCCTGCCAAAGGTAATTATGGGCCATGGCGCATTTACATTAATGCATAGGACCTACAGACATTTCAAAAGCTTAATGGAGAAGCTCCATAAATGTATGTATCGAAAAACAAATTAATTAAATTAAACTGTCATGTAAAGATATCACTTAATTTTGCAGAGCGGAAGGYGCTCTTAATGGGAATGGAATGGATCAGTGAGCATTTCAAAACCCAAAGCTATAATTTAAATTCAGGCTCTCCTCTAGTGTGCAAGTCACAAGACATATTTATTATAGCCTTGGATTGTCAATTGTAATCGGTTTAGCAGAGACAAAGCCGTGTTGTTTTGCTTCCTGCCCTCCTAGCTGGTTCAATATATTTTGATGTCAGACTATTGACAAGCAAACCAAAGGCTGAAATAAAATCATGTTTACCTGTGATGAACTGGCAAAAATGCAGTCCAAGGTAAATGTAACCCTGAAGCCCAAACRTTTATTTATCAAGCAGCAGGGAGAAATGGTGAAGCATTTAAACTTCTTTAAATAAACCAGCTGAATAYATTGACTGCTGCTTTTGAGGCCTGCTATGTGGCAGCCTCGAAACGAATGGATAAAAATAAGTAAAAGCACTGTGAAAATGAATAGCATCATTTATAAGCTGCTGCTCTTGAGTTTCCCAGGTGTCAGTAACAATTAAAGTTGTTGCTTTTGACACTCCTCTAAAGCTAGAGCCAAAGCCTGACACCAGGTCCCCAGCAAACAGACAGAAACACTTCTTCCAGGATGTGCAACCCTGTTTGCTGCAGGATTTTCACCTGGCAGCAGCAGYCATAAACCAAGCCTATGCTTCTGCAGCCATGAACAAGCATCTTGTTGAGTAAGATTCCAAGAATAGCTCCATTCTAACATTCTTCTTTCTGTATTCTCTAATTCTCTTTCTTGTTAAGGTTATTTTCTGATCCAGAGCACTGAAACCAGTCAGCTCATCAGGTTATAATTGTCGTGGTTTCCTCCTGTCTTTTTCCAGCCCCTGGGTTGAGCTTAGTCATGGAGAGGCTTCTCTGAGTCTGAATTTAGAACCTTCTGCCCAGGATCTCTGTAATTTTTTGCCTCTCAGGTCTGAAAACYCAACTCTAAAAAATGCTGACAAACTCAAAACTCAGAGTTAGGAAGAGCTGTGGCACAGCAGACTGGGACAGCTGCTTGAGGTGCACCTCTGAGGGCAGTGGCACAGCACCAGCCCCCCCGGGCTCCTGCTGTGTGGTGGGATGGCCATTTACAGGGAGGGAGGAAAACACTGCCTGGGGGAGCAAGGAGGAGCCAGCTGCATGGCTCCTGTGCTCACACAGGAGCTGATTTACTACTTTTATAAAAATACCTGTGTATCTGCATTTGTTCTTACTTGCATAYGTAGCAGGATTTGCAGGTGAATGAGTTGCATTTTTGCTTCCAGTGTAATCTTTCAGCAGTTTGTTCTACAAGGTAATTACTACGCTAAAAAAMCCCAAACCCAACCAACAAAAATAGCCAAAAAAAAAAAACCCCTAACATACAATTCTGCCTCAATACTAGACCACTGTGTTCTTTTGCCTACACATTACAGTAAACAGAAGTATCTTTTATAATCTTYCTGTAAAATAACAGTTTTTGTCTTGCTAAGCTATTTATGTCCCATGTCTCTGTTCCAAGATGCACCTCATTATCCTTGATCACTCTTCTGAGAAAYTTTTATTTTTCTCACCCTCTTCAGTCTCTTTTTGGCTTTGTGCAAGACTTGCACTGTTTATTAAGTGACAGGTTACCACTGATCCTATTACAAAAAAAATCTCTTCCAATTCAAGGGTTGAAAAGTTGGACACAGCTTTTTAAAAGTGTTTTGCCCTACTAGCAGTAATCTTTCTACTTATTTACATGGCTCCTACYGTCACACATGTTCCAATAACAACATCCTTCTTTGCAAGGCAATGGGAAAGTGCTCATAGCCCCTCTTAAAAAGAAAAGATGTTGAGAGATTTAGGTCTTGGTCCAAAACAGCATGAAGACTTTCACCGATGTCAGTGACAAACCAGATGTCTGATCTCTTTCTTTAATTTGGACCTCAGTGATTTCTTCAAGGTATAAGAAAATTGTGATCCAGCTGAGATCTGAATGTATCTGTAGCAATAAATTGCCATCTTCTACCATCAGCCAAATTCCATAACCACAGGCATGCCCATTTCTTTCCAATAAAGCCCAGTCATTAAAAATGGTCTTTTCCTAAATAGCTTTTCCAGCTTAACTGTCTGGTTCACAAGCCCTTGGAGCTCTAAAGCAGATGAGATCTACAAACACAGTCATAACTTTTGTTTATGGAATGGGAAAGACTCAAAGAGGKCTCTAAGTCATGGTCAGGAGAGTAAGATAAGCCACTGATATCAGTTAAAGGGCTTAAGTTAAAGAAATATTATTTCTWAACTCTGAAAATAGCTATTGTGGTAAAACCACTTCTTTCCCATATCACTTTGTGAACATCGAGTAAATACATAAAATACAAATTTTAAGTTATTAAGAGCAGTGGTGACAAAGTAATGCTTTTAATATTCTTTTAAAAAACACTTTTGAAAGTATTTATTTGAAATATATAAAAGGTTTAATTGTATTCAGTTTTTATAGTCATAAAATTTTGAACACTCTTCTGCATAAAACAAAAAAAGCTAGGGCATTTCTCAAATTTCTGAATAACAACCAAATAAACTCAAACAATTTCATGTTTAATGTAGCTATCCACTAAGAGGCATACAATCAAGATTGAATTGTATTTGTATTCTTAATTCATCTGTGGAACTTGAAGGCCCTCTTCTGGATCATAAATTACTGCATGGCCTAGCAAAGTACATGGAAATGACAAAGCCAACCAACACTATGAAAAGATAAAAACCTTAAATATATTTTATTCATCTTATTGCCACCTTAATTTCTAKGTTTTCACTTGTATTTGCCCATCTCAGTTACTATAATTTGGTACCTGAAAACAGYTTCAACTTCTTAGAGGATTTTTAAAAATGAAGTACTTCTTACCCTAGCATACACAAGAGGAGTGGACAGTCTAATGAGARCTTTGGAAAGTTTCTCCACAACTTTGTATGAAGGTGCTGTGCAGCCAAGTGATGTTTGCTTATCCTTATCAAGCAATAGCATACACAAACTGGGACGTGATGGTGCCTATGGCCCTGTCTGCACAGCTGTGTGACTTTCAGAAATCACGTCTGAAAATTTGGCTAGAGAGAGTGCAAAAAAAAAAGGGAAGAAACACTTACAATGGTTTTAAGTCTCCAAGGACTGTACAATTCCTTTATATGCCTTTTGAATAAATATACACACATGGACTGTCAAGTACTTACAAATGTAACCTTTCAAGAGAGTTTACTGACTTGCCTAAGCAAACATTTGCTGTTGAAAAGCAAGATGCTTCTCCACAGACAGAAGAAAAAAATATTCTAGAATGTGCTGTACAAAAACATCATTTTAATGGATCTGTGTGTCTGTAAACGAGTGGTCTTGAACTATAAATTCTCCTCTTTCTAAGAAACACCCATTTATTCTTTTGTTTTGTCATGATAACAAGAAATCATAAACACAGAAACACAGGAGAAGGTACTAAGTATATTAGTAAAAACTGTACAGAAAACTAAACATAGTTTGGTTGAACTGCACATTTTTAAAAAGTAGAATGCTGAAGAAACCTTCACGTATCATTTTTGGTAAGTTTCTGTTTCCCATCAGTGTAGGGCTGCTGACGACGATCCTTTTTCCGCACTTTTGATTTTGGGGCTGCCAAGAAACAGKAAAGGAGAAGAATCATCAGAAGAGAATTACAGTCATACCAGTGCCAACATTCTTTTAAATTAGGTTGGGATCAAAATGGACGCATTAATGTAAAACCTACCATTGGGATTTTCTTGTCTGTAGAAAGCTTTTAGCAATTCCACTGCTTCTTCAGCACGATAGCCAGAAGAGCACTGTTCAAATTAGAATGATGTTAGTRAGCACATCTGAGAATAACATATGCCATGCTTCACAATAATGTCTTGAGTACAGAATAATTTTAAACAAYTGTACTGTCAACTTAGGGGTCAAAAAAAAAAATCTCCTTGAGGTTTAATACCTAATACACTTGAAAAATACTATGTTGAGGCTTAGTAGAGTAAGTAATTTCCCTAWTAACTTACAGTTAGGCAAAACAAAATTTTTTAGTAAATTATGTACAATTTTTAWGCAATCAACAACTTCTTTCTAATTAATGTGTTTCCAACCTCTCATACTCATCAAGCATTTGGAAACATAAGAGGCATACATTTACGTTTTTGTAGATGAGATTCCTGACAGAAAACAACTAATCCATATATCCATTCTTTATTCCTTTCAGATCTTTTTGGTCCTTCTAAAATACTTTTCCAGGCATTGATAACTAATGACAAAGCATTTAAATGTCACTTACACTAAACCAATCTCCACTCATACTAGAAAATAATTAGCTACTCTTATACATCCCACTGTAGTTGCCTACACAAATAAAGGATTCATAGTATCAAGAGCTTTCTCCTTTCCTCCTTCTGAACATATAAAAAGTTAAATACCACATGCCAATGTTAGCAAATGAACACTCTTCCAGTACTGACTATACCAATTAATTCAGATGTTAGTCTCACTGACACCCTGAGAGAAAGATGCCTAATATGTTTACACTGGAGTGCCAAACATCATTGCCTTACTGACTGGAATTCTTTGAGCCTTGAGCCTTCAGTTCTTATTTACAATGCTTAAAGACATTACTTGTTTTTCACATTCATTAAATCATTAATGTGAAGTGTGGAAAAGAGCCCCAGGAACCCTAATCATTGCATGTATAATGTAWCAAATAAAATGCTATAAATACCCTCTACATGTACGTATGCATACAAAAGTGTAGTAGCATCACGCTACAAAGTACCCAGATTTTTATACATTGTACCTCCACTGAATGCTTGTCCACCCTTTCTCACATGACAAAGATGCTTCAATCATTTGATGCCTCAACGCCCAGACATTTTTCAGTCTTTCAGCATCCCTCCTAATCAGAAAGTTTYCTGATACCGAAACTGAATTTCCTCTGCTACTTTTGCAGTTCAGATTTATTTYGGCATTTTAACTACATGAAATAAGTCTAAGCTAATACATTTTACCTCATAAGAACACAGACTGAAAGCAAAAATACAATAATTTCCAGTGGCTCAGCTAAAACCCAATAATTTTGTAAGTTGTTGTTACTTGATCTTTATTGATTAAGTGTTTGTATATTCTGCAGTTTAAAATAATTTTCCCTCATCTCTTCCTGCAGCACATACTTACTGTTCTAAGTATTGCACACATTTTAGATATATTTAATTCTTCCCTTGTTCCACAAACATAATTATTTCCCTTACCATTTGATACATCCTTGTCTTGTTTTCGAAACAATTTTTAGAGAAAATGCTCTGGAATGAACATTTCCTCTTACAAAAAGAGATTACAGCAATCCCTTCCCACCAACACAAAATAAATTTTTTGGATGAAAGTGGAAAAAACCCTGTGTATCTAACAAACAAGGAGCCCACAGTGCATGGGGAAAAAAAATAATAACTCTTGGATATTGAACGTTCAGACCGTTACCTACACACACACACACACACACAYAYRCATGCAYCCA